CTTCTAGCTTTTCTGGTTCTCGAGTTGAAAGTGGGTGACAAAAAGTGCGAACCCACAGACACACACACACGTACACACAGACAGACTCCTCCCAATATGCGTTTTTGCAATTTACATATATGTAAAAACGCACAAAAAAGACAGAAAAAACACAAAAAGAACAAAAGACAGTGAAAGCACAAGAGGCTAATTAGATTATTATTACCTAGAAAACAGGAAAGACGGTGAGAGCATCGACATCAAAAAAGGAACAAGAAGTCGAGAAATACAAGTCCGAAATGAAGCTGCGGATGATTTATCAAATACAGCTATCGGCAAAGATAAGAAGTTTTTGATGTGGTGGAATACCCTCCATACCTAAACATTCTCGGTGGTGTCAAATGCTTCAGCGTCCAGTGCGATCATTTTGCTGGTCAGGCTCTTCACGAACATTCTGTAGCAGCAGCATTTGGAGTAGTAAATAGTATTTTTTGTAATCCGGCTCGTAGCTGCATTCGTCCACTCCTCCTTCGATTGTTCTGCACCCGTTATACCAGTAAACGTTGTCCTAACGAACACTGTTCATCGCCACCGATTTCATTAGAATTGCACGTTTCTCATGACGCACTGCTACAGCAGCGGTATTTGGAGGACTGAGACTTAGACAAATTGTAATCTGATCCGGCTTTGCGTCTCCTTCTTCGGATGTTCTGCAGACTTTTCCGCCAGTTAAGGCTGACAGACTACTGGTGGCTGCGCCGTCAAACCCAGGGACCTGGGACCGGATCCACCTTCGATAATCGCATCATCCGGATCAGCACCAGCATATTCCTTGGTTTCCTCCTCCTCCATCCGTTTCCCTCCTCAACCCTCCGCGCCACGTCTTCTTTATGCTTCCCTTTTCCTCAATACTTCCCGCTGTCTCGTGTGATGATCACGGATGTTCTCTTTTTATCGCATTGCGCGTTGGAAAATCCCTGAAAGTTCAACCACCGTAGAGCTGTCTGCCAACACAATACGAAGATAGTTAAAACACGGATTTCCGAAACAAGACCGAAAGTAGAAAAAACAAGTATTACCAAAATAAGATCAACAGCTACATCGCAAATAAACCTACCTACGATGACGCTGTTGATTCCCTCCTCATACTGAGCGTTAACACTCTCGATGCTATCGGATGCCTCCATCTCCAACGTAATTGGCCAGCCGGTTGGAATCTTCCCAGAGATCTGCAAGCGCCACGCAACCTCAACATCTGATGGAGCGTTGCAGTCTCACAGCGTTTGGACCATCTCCAATTGTTTATTTGGAGAACAAAAAAAGACAGAGAGAGCACAAAAAGAACAAAAGACAGTGAAAGCACAAAAAGCTAGCTGGATGATTATCGCCTAGAAAACGGGAAAGACGGTGACAGCTCTCGGACACATATACACAGCCAAACAACCTCGTGACAATATGCGTTTTTTGCTGCGTAACAGCAGTACAAAACACATATTGTCACGTGGTTGTCTGTGTGTGTGCGTTTTTGTCCCCGAGTGCGTTTTGTCCCGAATTTCCAAATCGGAAACAACGAATGTTGGGGCGCTGAAATTTGGTAGGATGTTTCCCACCCGCATGAGACCTCACAAACTTGAATCCGGCCTTCACTTACCCGGTGCCACATATGATCCCGCCAAATTAGGTAGGGAAATTATTAACTCGGGAGCTACGAAAGTTGCGAAAATGGAATTTCGCGGCAATGCGCACTACCTACATACAACCACTCGCAAATTTAAATCCAGCCTTCCCGCACACTCAGATATGACATTTGGCCTCGTGAAAGTTTTGGCAGGAAATCTATTATCTCACGAATCACAAAAGCTAAGGAATTAAAATTTTACGGTAATGTTCCCTGTCCAGGACAGCTCCACAGCTTAAAGCTCAGTTTCCCGATAGATCTGGGTACCGCGTACGACCCTGTGAAAGTTTTGGTGGGGACGATATTTTGGAAACCACGAAAGCAGGGAAGCCGAAATTTTAGGTTATTGTCCTCTGCCCACGTGCGATCTTGCAAATTCAGCTTTCATGTATGTCTGAGTCTCAACGCCTTTGTGAATGTTTTGGTGGGAAGAATTATAACCCTGAAGCCAGAAGAGGTAGGAGGCAGAAGATTTCAGGAGGATGTTTTCTGCCTATGTAATGGTCACACAAACTTAAATTATTTCCCAAGTAGCCGAGCTCTCGCATACGGCTACATAAAAGTTTTGGCTCGAAAATCACTCAAAAACCAAAAAATTTGGGGTTGATTTTGAAAAGATGTTTACTGTACAAGGCTTTAGTGGGAAATTTCACAACTTAGGAACCGGACGACATTTCTATTATTTTTGCATAAGCCAAAATCCAAATCAGTGGAAGTCCTTGGCGGGCAAACGCTCGCTAGACGGAAGTGCGCAAAACGCATGATCGCACCGGCTACCCTGGTGCGCGCCGCTATTTATGTACTGCTGTTACACAGCACAAAACGCATAAAAAACGAAGCAGTAACTCCACCCCACCCCACCCTTCCAAAGTTAGTCAGAATTAATCAACGGTCCCTTTCATTTACAGGCAGCAATGCAGTTACTTAACCGCAGCACACTCCCCTCCTCGTTTTCTCCTGCCCTCCGAAAAAAAAGGATGAACCGGTAGCAACACACCTCCCCTCCCAAGTTGACTGGCAGTAGTCACGTTTTTCCCACCCCCTTCTCGAGCAGTACCATTGTACCTGGCCAACAGA